GACCACTGGCGGCCTTTTTAAAAATAAAACTTTGTTTCTACTCGAACGGCTTGTGTTTCTGTGCCCAGCCGGGTTGCGGCATTGCAAGCCGGCGCGCGCTAGCAGCAGCAGCGCGAGCACCGAGGCGCCCAGCAGGAAGGTGGCGAGGCTGAGGCGCGCCTCAGAGCCCGGCAGCCGCGCAGCCTGCGGCACTTCCGGGCGTAGATGTTTGAATAATTGAGACTGGTTCTGACTTATAACATGGCTCATTATCTAGTATATCTTGTAGGAATGGGTTTTTACATTTCTTAAGAGCTTCCTGGACTAAGCATTTTCCTCTAAGTCTGTCTTCATCTACATCGTTAATGATCTTACATAATATTCCCGGGATTTCATGTTTATCGGCCCTTTCTATTATAGGCTTTACTGTTTGTGGATTGCTTAACGCTATTTCCACGGTGGTTCCTTTTTGGAACTCAGGCATCTTTGCCTGAACTACCTTTTCCAGTGGCCGCCATGGCGACTGAGGCTTTAGTTCACTGTTCTCTAAACTTTTCTTTCTTATGGTGCACCTTTTTAATTTTGCTATTGCCTCACGTAGGCCCATTTTACTATACTCAGATATATCCTAATCTTATATAAAGACCAATTCCACTGGATCCAGCCATATGTTTCTATATTGCCCAGGAGCCTACTTAAATTCTCTTCCCACTTTACTTGAGCCCAAGCTCCTATCCTTTCTTTACACCAGCTCATTCGCTGGGGGCCGCCGTCACCATGAAGGATTAAGCAGGTGCACTCCCCTCCTCAGTCCGTTGGGTTCCCGGGTGCCGGACAATCAAGGTGACTTCGGTCCACAAACGGAGTAGGATTGCGAACGTGTGTTTCGGGGAAAGCACTTACCCCCAGGTTCCTTGTGCGCTCTCCAGATCTTTGGTGATGATGATGGTGATGATGATGATCCTGCCGACTACGCCAACTGACACAAGCAGGACTGCAGCGAAGTCCCGTGATCATCCCCAGGTGGTCCTGGAGTCAGGATCACCTCTGCTCCAGGTAACCGCTCCCAGCCAACGATCTGTGTCCTGAAGAAAGAAGTCGCTGCACACGATATGCCTTTTCGAATGCTCGGTTTATTCACACCAGATTTCATCACATCACACGAGGCACATGTTTACCTTATGTCCTTATCTAACTCACACATATTTCTAACTTATGCACCCTTCTTCATCAAAACATGTTTACTTCAAATTCTCCTGTCAGAAACCTTACGCGTGTAAGGAATGAGGAAAGTGTTGAGGCCTTCAGCAGTGCCTCAACACTTACTAACCATCACAGAATCATGCTGGTGAGAAGTTCTATGCATGTAAAGAATGTGGAAAGGCCTTTATTCAGAGCTCAGAAATTATTCAACATCAGATAATCCATACAGATGAAAAACTATGTGAATATAACAAGTGTGGAAAGGCCTTTAATAAAGGCTCAAACCTTACTAGACATCAGAGAATGCACACTAGTGAGAACCTTATGATTTTAAGGAATGTGGAAAGGCTTTTGTTAGTCACTCAGACCTTATTCACCATGAGGGAATTCATACTGGGTAAATGATAAGAAAGTAAGACCCTTTTGTGAACACTTATTTTTTAAAAAACATGTAATGAAAATAATCCAGGAATGAAGGTTCCCTGTGTATTAAGTTTTCCAGATACTGTAACAAAGAATCAAGAAAAATTTGGTACCTTAAAACAAAGGAATTTATTCCCTCACAGTTTTGAAGCCTGGACATCCAGAA